TAACACGCTCCTAGCACGAGAACCTGGACTAAAGATTGGCTCCAACCATCAATCCTGTGACTTAACCTGAGTCCCATACGAGTCCCATTTCGGGTGTAAACAGGCTCCAATAGGACTCCAGATAGCCGCAAATAGGACTCGAATGAAACAGCTGTGCGGACTGTGTATGAGCCAAAACACAGCGGCAACACTATTGTGTTGCTCATCAACAAATTAGAGGCTCGTCCAGTAATGGTTCCATTTCGCCTTGTGAACTGAGCTGAACTATACGTGTCGGAATGGTTCCGTTAATTACATACAAGAAGGGAAAATGGAGTGGATCGTGAATCACTTGTCTAGAAAAACGAAGGCGGAAACGCAATTAAATAGCCCCAATCGATAAGCTTTATACGCATATTGTCATTGTTGTTTTTGTGCAACTTAGATAAAATAAATCAATATTTGTAAAGAGAAGGTTATCTGCGTTACGGATATAGACCATCCTCAACACGTGTAGTAAATGAGAAAACCGAAAAGAAAACTGAGGTAATTTTTGTAGGCTTTTCGAAGGGGTCCGTGTGAAGGGTGCCAAAAAACTGCCAGGAGGGATGCCGAATAACTCGGTTCCTGCAATAGACGACATCTATGCAACATCGGATAAAATAAGGCCTGGGTGGCTTAATTGGTGAAAGGCGTCAAGATCCTGGAGGTGATTCAAAAAAAGTTAACGAGGGTCATAGACGCCCTTCCAGCACATCAGACGGCCTTCTGTCTCATCACTATGGGGACGATAAAATTAATAATTAATCGTCCGCCGCTTGATGCAAGGTGCATAAACTAGATTCAAGTTGGCTGGCGGTAAGTCGTTTCTATCGCAGTTCCTCTGCATCCCGGTGGGAGACAAGCAACTGTTCTCCTACCTCAGACACTTTTGCAAACGGGATGAGAAGCGCGCTAGTTATGAGCGACGTCAACACACTTGAAGTTGACTGGGATACTTCGTGGACACCGAATAGTTTTCGCCGCAACCCAGGTGAACTTTGCCCGCGATTGCACTCTAATCTAGCATGTCCATTAACCTGTGCATTATCGAAGTGAACAAAACACAGGGCTACTGGACCTCGTTCCTGAGTAAATTCTGAAATCTCGTGGTGGACTTGCAGACCTTCCCACCACTTAGCAGAAGCAAACCGAGAGCCGTATATTTCTGCTTAAGGAAAGATGACTTCAACCCATTTACAAAGCATAGGCGAGCCTTCAACAGAATAGACAGTGATTTCCTCGTTGTAAGAGCTTCCGAGTTACACAGGGGAGCACAGTTCAACCTCAGAGAAGGCCTATGGATCATCATAAAGTATAACGTTTTAATGCTTACTTCTGAGATTGCTTCACTTGGGAGGATTCGGAGAGACAGAAAACTCCCTAGGTGGGCTGGCAGGGTCGCAGAGGCTCAGGCCCGAAAGCGTAAAGTTTGGAGGCAGTACCTCAGGACCCAAAGCCACCAAAGGTAACTAGTGTACCTCAGGTGAAGAGATAGAGAGCTCACTACACAAATAGCCTGTCGAAGGGCCTTTGAAATGAGATTAGCACAGAGAATAAAAATGCCATGGGGCATTTTTAATTATATACAATCAAACTCCAAGCTGCGGATGACGACAGGTGCCCTTGATGAGGATATCGGCTAGTCAGTTATAGCCAGCTCAGACAAAGCAGAGATATTTAGACGCTACTTGGAAGCAGGGCACCTTAAGTACAACAGTGCACCTCAGTTTTCAGTTTCTACAACCATTGACCATGCACTATCGTGCGCTGGTTTTCGTTGCTGTCTTTTAGCTGCCCATTTGGATGAACATGAGGAGAAAGACAGGTAAGGTTGAAAGTAGGATCGAAGAGAAAATTTAGCATTTTATTACACTAATTTTACAGAAAAATCGCCAAGATGCACAAACGCCACTGTTTACGATACACAGCCATATTGCTCAGTGTTTCTAACCATCGGGTATGGCCATCCTGAGGTCCCCGTCCAGAGAGCTCAACGGGACCTATGTGACCCAGACTCCTGGTCAGGGTTTTCATACCCTCAAGCCAGGTCTTAGTTTGGCCACTCTTGACTTTCTTCTACCCGTTGCCTGCCTCGGCAAACATCGGTCGCCATGGTAAACTATCCGGTGATATGCGTAACACATATTTCAACCAATGTTATCTATGGACGTCAACCACTTGCGACCGCATTTACCTAAAACTCTGCGCCTAACGTCAGCATTGCTCGTTCGGCCGCCCCATCAGATTCGTGCCATACTGCGTAGGTAGCGGTGTTCGAACACGGACAGTCTATCTTTATCCTGTTTCCTTAATGGCCAAGTTTCTGCGCCGGATAACAGAAATGGGCGAACTGACGCATTATACACTCGATCCTTAACAGATAGCCGGATGTTGCGGCGGCGCCACAGATGTGTCAAGTTGGCAAATGCCAACCGAGCCTTCTGTATGCTAGCTGAAACTTCATTTATGATGCGTCCACCGGGTGAGATGCAGCTGCCCAAGTAACAAAACGTATCCACTTGGGGGATGACGAACTCTGAGACTCATCCCATGTGTGGAAGATTTCGAAATACTCCCCCAGGAGGTTGAAAATAACCTCAGGCACCTAAACATGTGTAAATCGGCAGGGTCAGATGGCATTAACCCAGTCATCTTGAAACCCCTAGGTAAGATCCTCGCCTACCCACTGTGCCACGGCTAAATAGCGGCAGATTGGAAGGTGGTGGAGGTAGTGCCCATCAACAGGGGAGAGTCAAAGAAATCGGTAGGTAACTATCGACCGGTCAGGCTGTTGCCAGTTCAACTAAAGATGATGGAAGCAACCCTCGGGAAACGAATCACAAAACGTATACTGAGTCTGGGCTTGACATCGCCCAACCAACACGGTTTTGTACAAAAAAAACTTGCTTGTCAAACCTGTTAGACTTCATGAATGAGGTAAACCAAAGGCAAAATCGTGAGGAGCGTGTGAAAGTCTGTTACCTAGATTTCCAAAAGGCCTTTGACTCAGCCAACCATAGACTACCGATCGAAGAGCTCAAGTTATTCCATTTGTCTGAACATGTCGTTAAATAGATAGCGGGGTAGCTACTAGGCAGAACGTTCTACGTCAGAGTAAGGGCGAAACATCCAGGCATTGAGCAGTCTGCTGCAGNGCCCTAAGGGTTCGTGATGGGCCCCTGCTCTTCCTCATATACATAGACAACCTGACCGATAGGATGACATATCCGTTTTCTAGTCGCTGACGTAAAAATTGTTAGCGATCCCTCCACAAACGGCATTCAGGATGACCTGGATGAAGTCCAGAAATGGATAGAAGAGGATCTGCTACCGCTAAACGCTGCCCAGTGCAAACAGATACGCCTAGGGGATCTCTGCCAGAGATAAAAGCGTAAATGGCACGGTACTCACGCCAGTGAGAAACACCGGCGAGGTCAGGGATCTGGCAATGATCATGCATAGTTTCTTCCAGCCCACGAAACAGTGCCAACTATACTCATCAAGGGTTCCGACGGCGCTATTATTGCTGAAAAGAACAGCAGCATCCAGGGACCCTGCAGTACTACTGCCCTTCAACAAGGCTCTAGTGCAATCACACTTAGAATATTGCGTTCAGGCGTGGTCGTTAAACCTTGTGTCGTATTTTAGGCGCCCGAGAGAACTAAAGTTGCTCTCACTCTCTCTCACACATAAAATATGAAGAGGGGACCTGATAGAAGTCTTTAGGATACTGAAGGGACTCTCGCAGCCAAGCAGGCAACTTTTTTCCTCGATGGTAAACCCAGCCCTAGGAGGACACCAGCTAAGGTTGGTAAAACCTCGTGCGGTAAAGAGAGAAAGAGCGAACTTCTTCATTCAAAGATTGGTCAAGGCCTAGAATAAACCTCAAAATGAGGTTGCTTCGGTGTTCACTCTTGACCTGTTCAAAGCAAGGCATGATAAAGCATGGAACGTAGTCTTCCTCAAATAAGCCTAAAGGAAAAACAGTCAGTTTTTAGAGACGGAAGATGCAATATCACGGCCTGCGACAGCACTCCAATCTCCAATCTTCTGTGTTTCTCGATAACCCGGTATTAATCAGGAAGAACAAACGGTTAGCCAAGGGAAAGTGTATTGTTCCTGAAGGTACCGGAGTTTAGCCTGACTACATTCGGGTATCCGAAAGCGAAAATGCTTAGCACGCAAAAGTGCAGCACTGAACTCACGCACCGTTTAAAGTAAAGTTACTTCATCGGAGGTGGCAGTGATTTAAAAAAGATTAGGGACCTAGCTGCAGAAACGGTCTCAGAATATCAACGATACTGGCGCAATCTATGCTACAAAGGAGAAGGACGCACGAGCGAATGCTCCAAGTAACCAATTTCAGCAACTACGCGAAATCATACATGCGGATCAGGCAGACCAAAGATAGTGACAACTCTCAAGCATGTTACACTAACGGTCTCAAGCTACTACAAGTCCTTGGTGGTAGCTTACATCTTCAGCCTCCCTAACCCATCCCCACTCTTCACTTCTTTTAACATGAGCTATTTTATCTCCACCTATTCAACTACCCTTTATCTTTAATTATTCTGCTCTTAGCTCCCACACCCTCCTCCTCATACAATCTCACTTATCTTTTCTTAATTTATCCTCCCATGCCTGCGGGTTACCTGATTTTTGCTGGGAAGAGCTACTGAGATCTCCTGGTGAACTTACAACTGGTACTGCTTTCATCGACAACAAACCGGATTGGCGTCCCTGCTCCGCGTCAGTACTCCTACATCAACAAGGACCGATCAGTATACCGTCGAAGCGCTAGCTGGAACAAGTTACTCTTAGACACAAGAAGCTGGACCACCATAATGGCTCGAGGTGCAAGTCCTGGAAAATTTATTTTCTTGTCCTGTTACTCCATAAGTTCTGTGACCTGGGACTGAAAATATTACAAAAATGCATATAAATAAAATGACATTTTATTAAATAAAATAAAAAGTGAATCAATGAGTTTGATCGTAAGTATCTTTTCCTTTATAGCCGGATACATATCCAGCTTGAGCTTTTTCATCCATAACATATTCGCGACCTTCAATGCCTTTGCCTTTGCCAGTTTCCATATCAAATCTCTCTTTATGTGCGCCGGTATAACCTTTTACATCCGTCAATCTGGCAGTAGCGGCGTCGCTGCTGACTTGAGTCGCACCATGTGCTTTAGGATTTCCCTTCATAATCTTTTCCTTGATTTCGTTCACTGCTTCATCCAAAGAAATTTTTTTTGAGGATGCATAGGCTTCACCTAGCGGTCCTTCAATGAAGCGAACGAAATTGTGAAAGTCCATATCCAGCTTCTGATTTCCAATGTGTTTTCTCAAGGCTATATCGACCAGGTTAGCATTCAGGTTTTTGTTATAAATTTGACAGTCTGTGCATATTTTCTTGACCGTCTTATCGGTTGCCGTTTTTGAACCTTTTTTGCAGGCATCACAAAATGCTAGGAAGATTTCCTCCATTGAGAATAAATGAAACAAAGAAGAAGCGAGCAAGAACCAATTACAAAATAAGAGGGATGCGCGATAACACTGTACGTTATTTAAATAGTTATATCGACCGAGCCTCACCTTGAAGATGACCTATCGAACTTTTTGACCCTATCGCAACGAGGGTATTCAGGAGTGTCACACAATGGAAAAAAAACTGTTTATGACACGAAAAGATAGGCTAAAGGTTTGATAAAAAAATTTGTTTAGCTGAATTGGCAACCAGTCCGCTCTTCACAATTTAAATAGATCGTGGTGAGTGTTCGAGAGTGATGCTTGAATTTCTTCAACTGAAGCCGTTACCGGTATCTGTTGAATATACCTACTGATGTTTTAATTTAAAAGTCCGCTGACGAAAATCACTCATGTTTTATTTGCGTTTAGTAATATCGGACATTAGATTCCACCTGTACGTTTCGCGGTTGTCGCGGCGTTCGTTCCGAGGAGCTGGAGTCTGATGCCGGCCGTTTTCACGGATGGGTACTTCGTGCATTCCAGTGCCACGTCGTGCGTCGAGGTCTCAACTCTTTTTGGTTCAGTTAATTTCTCACCGGGCGAACTGTGGCAGTTGTCAATTCAGCGACTTTCCTTGTGTTGGCGGTCTCATTGGCCTGGAATACTTCGGGTCAGCAGTCTTTTGTGGAAACCCAGTTTCTATGTACGCAATCACCATTCCGTTTTCACTCGATTACCAATACACTTGATGCCGGGATCGCACCCTATGGCCGCAAGCTAACTGCTGTTGACGAAGTCGTTGTGTCCATGAGAATATCGATGGATCGATGATCACCGATGCGGCGTACCAGCTTCTTGGTGAGTAGATAGTGCATGATGTTAATTTCTTCACCTGAATCTTATTTTTGGGTTTGATGATAACAATACTGATAGTGTCCGCCGAATGTACAAATTCTTGGGTATTGCTTTTTTATTTACAGATTTGGAGTTTGTCTGCAATCCGCTTCAAAGTTCCGTATTGGCCGATTCCTAAGAGTCGCGTCCTCATCTCTGCTCGACAGCATCATACGAGAGTTACCCACGTGGAGGAAGAACCGGTTGCCCTGTTTTCCGCATCTGAAGATCACAAATCTGCAACTCTTTCAGCTAGAATGAGGCAGCGTTTCCCACGCTACTCTCTGACAGCGATTGGATAGATGCAAGGATTTTGGAGGGACGACTACGTGGACAGCGCGTTTACGCGATTGGTATCCTACCATTGTAACGGCGCCTGTCGGAGTGGTGCCAATAATTGGACGGTAAGCATTTTCGTTGTCTACGAAGTCGATATATATTTACATATGTATTTAGCAACAATATTTGAGAGCATTTGTAGATTGGATTTGAGGACAATATTGGGGACATGGGGTAGGTCGCCAGCATTGTTAGAATACAACAGGTGAGGTCGCGTATTACGCCAGGTGCTTCTGCCCCCTCCGAAAGGCAGTTTTCGAAGAACGGAAGACAATCGGTGTTACGGGCGTTAAAATCACCCAAAGAGGAGAACCTAGCTTCAGACTCTTAAACATTATCTATTTCAGCCGATAAAATTTCTGGAGGGTTGGTTCCTACCATTCGGGGAGCAGTGTATAATTCCCAACTGGTGATTAATTCAAGTCTCATTGGCCTTTGCTTTCGCGTTCGGATTGGAAGGTTCAGGTTTTTTAGGTCATCTACAGTACTGAGTAGTGCCTTGTTTGTGACAGTAATTACGTTTGCATCGTGGATACTAACCACAACCTAATTTTCTCCTTCCTTTTTCAGGCCATCAATTCAGCCACGGTCGAGATGTGAACTTAACAAGATTGTCATCAATACAGCTACAAATGTCTACATTGGCCTTTTCGTGTTATAATTGTGACCTGCTTATCTGACGTTTCGGAAGTGACACCACTGAAAGCAAGCTCAGCGCTTACAACAAATTTTGCGGAAGTAGGTTCCAAAGTTAGCTTTGAATAGGGACACAATAAGACCCTGGGGCTTATTTATTTCCCGCGGTGTTTCACAGGACGTGTAGTTGAACTTGGGAAGTATGCGTTGAGAAATAAGGTTAGGATGATCTATTGAGGTTATCGTATACTCCCCTATTTTATCGTCCGATGTGGAGTTCAACAAAGAATTGAAGCCTCAGTATACATTCACGCGGAGTATGCCCTGGTGGCCCGGAGTAAAGCCGATGAACTTCTTTCGGGATTAGCGACCGAAGTCTTGTAAAGCGGTCCGGCGGTGTTTAGAACGCCGGTCCCACGCCCATCGGATGTGATCCAGTGTTTGGGATGCTCAGCGGCGACACCGTTCACCAATGCCGCAACCGTTCGTACGTCCCGTGTTTAATAGGAATTGGGTTGTGCATCAGTGGTTGACCGGTACTGGTTCGTTTTCGGGTTTGGCTTGGCGTTTGGTTCTTTGTTGATGTATCTCGACTTATGCCGGTTAGAACTAGGATAGGTCGTGTCGGTCGTTCCTGAAGGTGCGAAGCCCGGGGCTGCGGTTAGGAGTCCGCCATGGAGGTTCACCCGCTCGTATTGGCAACTTGGCGGCACTAGCAAAGTCTCCATGAAGATTTACGTTGTGGTTCGTTCGCGATGGGGCGGTGTTGATTTTGATGTGAGTAAAGGTGAATAAGTGAATAGCTTGGGAGGTATTTTCTTGGGTTCACACCTTAAACCCAGGGACGAAGTGACGATGGAAGGTGTGCTGCTTTCTCACATTCAGTGAATGAATCCTACCTGGAATATTGACTGATCTCGTGCTCGATGCCTAGGGTGTTTATTGATTCAAAACCGATCCGAAATGCCATGGTTTTCCTCTGAGATTAAACCATATTTGGAGCCCTGGTCGTGGGGTGTGCCCGATAGCCGGTGCTTTTCGTCAGCCTTTTCGCAACAGTTGTTTAATACCGCTTGACAGGATAGAATTTGTTTCGTCAATATCAGATATCACGATTTTAAGAGTACTGCAGTCGTGCACTATCCTGCTGCGTTCACCCTTCCGTTGGGTCGCAAATCGAGCGACTGCTCGTTGACTTGGTGAGACAGTTCACGACGAGACTGCACCTTGACGCGGTGTGATGGCTTGCGTGCCTCCATGACTGCAAGCTACCCAGGATGGCTTTTCGCAGCCGTAGATTCAATCATGCCTGAAAGGTCAACGTGTAGAGGCCAGACGAAGCTCAGCCTCACAAGCCAGCTGCTTGGGCACCTCCTGGCTTCTATCCACACCCGCCCCCGGAGAGGTCACTCCAGTAAAAAAACGGCGAGGGGCAGTTTACCGGTTAAAAAACTCCCGCTAGATGGACGTACGAGCGGGGAACCTGGGGCTTCCTCTCGACGGTGGGAGAAGTTTTCGCACTTCATTGGACCGCTACCGCACGCCCAAGCTGGGCAGCCCCCAGCCAATAAGGTGCTCTCCCGTCCACGTTCCGTTTGTCTCATTGGATGCATGAGGCTGAGGGCTGATCCCAAAAAGCAGACCGATAATCACCGAACAACACAATTAATCGAAATTTAAGGACCTTGCGTGACAGGTCTCTAGAAGCTCCCACACGAATGCTTCGTTCACGCTCCCGCGTTGGATTTAGGCTGCCTTCTGGGTCACAGGCTCCGGTTACGGTTCCCAAAGAAAAACCCCTTCGTACGTATCATTGCACGTGTCTGGTGGGTAACCGGGCTAGCAATGCTGAGGTTAGGCGTACAGTTTTAGGCAGTCGCGGTCGTCCACTAGAGCAAGTGATCTACCTCCATAGATTACGCTGGTTGGAACATGTGCTACGCATGTCACCAGATAGGTTGCCACGGCGAACCGTGTTTGCCAAGGCTGGTAGCGATAGGAAAAGATAAAGGGTGATCAAACTAGGACCTGGCATAAGGGTATGAAAACCCTGACCAGGAGACTAGGTCAGATAGGCCCCGTTAGGCTCCCTGGCTGGGGACCTCGGGATGATGGTCACCAATGGTTAGCTACACTGAGTGATATGGCTGGGTGGCGCTCGTGCATCCACTCGTCATTTTCCTAACACCACTCTATATGTATTCCCCATCTTCCGCTTGAATTTGCTTCGACATTCCAATCTTCATTTCACTCTTTTATCCAAATGAGCAACCAAAACCGGCGCACGAAAATGCATGGTTAATGGTTGTAAAAACGGAAAACTGACAGTTTGTGCACCTCAATCCAACTAGCCACAGGTTTAGCCATAATGTAGGCTTCGGAAAATGGTCTTCTGTCGTCGCGGGTTTCAGGTTCGACCCGGTGGATAAAATTGCGGAGTGCTCGATCGAACTCGCGGACGTGCTTACAGGTTCTTGATGGTGCTAAAGGCCTCAGGTGAGAACCCTGCTATTTGGACTCACGCCTGGACGGCCGGAGGACGGACAAAGTTCAGAATGCCGGTCCTCCAGGTTCGACTCAAGTTGACCTCTGTGAAATGGTGGAATAGTAATCGGTCCAAGTAAATTGGCGTGTACTTCGCTCTACTGGTTGACTTGCGGTCAGCTCACTATTAGAACTTAAAGCCTTTGACGAGAACCCTAATCATTCTTAGTCGATGGACACTCTGGCAGTACGCATCCATCGAACTCCAAAGCCTGAGCAAACTGTGTCGCACTGTTAGTCGTGCAGGTTAGCGAGGTTCTTACTGCCGATTGCATCGAGTGGGGTGGGTGGCTGTGAGTCACCTATGCCCGGAGACTCAAATCCTTAAAATGAGATAAATGTCTTTTTACTTCCTTTTTCTATTTATTGAATATACAACTATATGGTCAACTTTCAGGAAGGGGGCTGCCTGGGTAAAATACAGATATAGGGAAGACAGGCAGTGATGGAGCGGTCTGAACCCAGGTCACTAGCTGGTGACCTAACCGCTTCACCACCGTCTTATTACCATTTTTCACACTTGTCTGTGGGCGGACGGTGTGACAGGCAAATCATGGTACAGTAATCTTTATAAGGAAGAAAACGTTCGATGATTGGCTTGTGGG